CATGGCATCACCCACCCCCTGCCCTCCTCAGCCTCTCCAGGCCTCCCTACCTGGCACCTACATCCTCCGTCACACAGACCCCTCTCAGTTCTTCAGAAGGGACCCCAACATACACACGCACTGCAGAGCCAGGCGTGTTTCCGTCTGCCCGTTCCCTAGTCTGACTCTCGGCGCCCCCACAGGGGTCAGCATGGAGCTGTGCCCGCAGGGTTTGGAATGGCTGGGTTCCTGCCAGGCACCGCTGGGCAGACTCAAACCACCACCTTGGCTACTCGGGCAGCTGGGTGCAGGAGCCACATCTGCCACCCAGCGCCCAGCTGTACAACACGAGAAAGGGAAACCAAGCCCCCAGTGCGGGCATCCCCGCAAGCCTGGCAGGACTTGCGCCAGACCGTTCTCCCGCCCAACCTTCTCTTCAGATGCAGTGGCTTCTGGGACACGCAGGTTTGAGATTGGGGGGACAGAGTGGATTTGTCCTAAGGAAGGTTTCCTCCCTGCCCCTGGGCTCTCCCATAGGACGCTGCGCCCCTAATTCTACACTTGATTTTAGCCAAAAGGCTGAGAAGCAATTGCTGTGCCCCTAATTCTAAGACTCACATGGACTTCAGATCTCCACAGATGGGCTCCCCCTCACAACCACGCTCGGTGTTTTTCACGGCACGCTGCCCTGGTTTCTGGTCCAGCAGTTAAGCTGACGATCCGAGCCAGCAGGAAGCCACAACCTCAGCTGAGGCAGCCTGGTGCTCTCCCCATCCCATTCGGAAGGGAAACAGACGTGAGTGTCTGGAGTCCCTTAGCCAACTGTGGCCACTGGTGACAGTGGTTTCTCCAAAGCAAAGCAAGCATTTTTCCAGTAATCCGAGTGCCAGGCTGGGTGGACGTTTCTAAAATAGCCCCTATTTTGACAAGACACTGATCTGAAGGATCCTTATTCCCTGCCACGAGTCAGTGCTGACTCACAGCGGCCCCCGCGGGTTTCCAAGAATGTAATCGTTTACAGGAGTAGAAAGCCCAGAATGTAATCGTTTACAGGAGTAGATAGCCCAGTCTTCCTCCTGCGGAGCTGCTGGGGATTTCCAGCTGCCCACCCTGCGGGTCGCAGCCCCATGCGGGACCCCTATACCACCAGGGCCCCACGCATGAGCCCTAGGTCATGCCCAAGTAGGCAAGGAGGAGGCAGGCTTCCTTCTCCACCCCTTCGCTGGTCCAGCAGGGGGCTCACGAGCAAGCAGCCTCTGTGCAGACCTCAGGCAGCGTCAGCCCTTCCGAGCGGCTGCTGCCCGGTTTTGGGCCGGCTCTCAGCCCTCCGTGCCATTTCCCAGGGGTAACACTGGGCGCTCGCTCAGGCTGCTCCCCTTGTTTACTCGGGTTGAATTCCAGGGAGTGACGACAATAACCAGGGCAGCTGTCACAAACGGGTTTGGCAACAAACAAGTGGCATCCATTGAAGGGAGGGGACTAAGTGCAAGGTGCGCAGAGAGCAGCCCGCCGGCCCTGGGCGTCAGCCAGCCCGTTTCAGAGGGAACCGGAAGCACCGGGCGAAGTTGATCAGCATTTTACTGACTCTGCGTGTCACCCCGCTCACCCAGCCCTGAATGCACAGTCGCTGGGATCTTTGAAAAGCCCGGACGCCTGGGCACTGAAGCCGGGTCTGAGGGGCGGGCGGCCCTCCCAGCGCGCACCTCACATGCCGCAGCTTCTGAAGGAATGGACAGCCGGCCAGCGGGCTCTATCCCCTCGTGGGTGGGGCGGGGCGGGGCAGAGCTAAGACAATGGGTGCGCCAAGTCTCTGTAGTTTACCAGATGAGGCACCTCGGGAGAAAGGCCTGGTGATCTGCTTCCCCAAGTGGGGCGTCATGACTCAGAATGGACGGAGCCAAGTGGCCAGCAGCGGCACCAAAGCAGGCAGGGGCTCCCAGGGAGGGGCTGGGCCTCCTGCAGCACCTGGGTTTCTGGTGATAAGCACCTCCACCCCCAGCTGGCTCCAGGAGGTGCCAGCCAGCACCGTGTTAATCATTGACTCCCGCTACTGGAAATAAGTGGGCACGGTGTGGCACCGGCGGGTCCTCCTGTCGGAAAGGAGAGAAGAGGACTCGATCCTCCTGCACAAGGCCCTGACCTCCGGGCCCTTCTACCCGCCGCCCAATTCCTGCTCCCAGGGAGGGTGCCCCAGCCCAGAATCCCTGAGCAGACAAGACACCCCACCTGACATCATAAAAGGGCAGGTAAGTGAGAAGGAATGAAAGGGAACGTGTTGCTAGGCAACAGGCCCCTGCCCACCTCTGTTGGGCTTCGGTGATGGCTGCGAGAGTCTTCCAGGGCCAGGTGACAAGGTTAATACCTGTCCTCGCCACCAGTGGCTTTTTCGAGTCAGGGCAAAGCTCCGGGCATCTGGCAGCCTCTTCTGCTGCTCAGCTCCCCTAGGGGGGTCCTTGGGGGCCAGTCCCCTTCCCATAGCTCACAGCAGGGGTCACCACCAAGTCAGGTACCACTCTCCCCTTCCCCAAGGGGCAGGCTCGGAGCAGTGAGCCTTGGTGCCACTTTTAAGAGGGCTGGTGGGTCCCTCTGCTTGCGATTGCTCCTGGGACACCCAAGGGCTCTCAGCTTGAGTCTGGCAACCCCCTGGTCCTCCCCAGGCGCCTCCAGACTGCCTGGCCAGCGGGTGGCTCCAGAGGGGCGCTAGTGGACTCTTGAATACACAGGCCTCGGTGGAAGAGAGCGGCCTTGAAGCTCCAGCTCACCTCCGGGCCCCGCAGGGAGAGGCAGCCAGGCCACAACGACCTCCTCCGGGGTCAGTCCCTGCTCAGAGTAGGAAGCCCCACCTGGCACTGGCTGGAGGCCCGGCCCAGACGCCCACTGCCCCTGTGCCCAGGAGCTGTGGGAGTCGGCGACTGTGCCCCCTAACGGGGAGGGCCGGCTTAGGGACGGCAGGCCAGAGCTGGTCGGCCCGGGCAGGCTCCCTGTGCTCAGGGCCCTCGGCTTCCTCTCTCCCCAGGTGCACATGGGTGACTTGCCCAAGGACCTGAGCCGCTGGAAAGGGGAGTTCTGGCAGAACCCCTGGGACGTGGGGGGCCTGGTGGTGATCGGGCTGCTCATCAGCGCCATCTTCCTCCTCGTGTTATTTGCCATCATGTTCGGGCTGCTCTCTCCCGGTGACACAGACAGCCCCTTCGAGGAGGAAGAGGAGGAGGCCGGCTTCCTGGGGGCTGAAAAGGCGTCCAGGGAGAGCAGCTGAGGCGTTCGGCCAGACAGCTACCGCGGGGCTCAGCCCTGAGATTCAGGTTCTGGCGTAGCGGTGGCCCGGCTGGCCAGCTGGCACCGACACCAAAGGGCACATGGAAGGGCTCCACGCTGCCTCCGGGAGGGCAGCCACGGCCCGCCAGGCCCTCGACCTCGCGCACGGGCTCAGCAGGGGAGCCAAGAGAAGCCACCGAGCAGAGTAAAGCACCCTTGTCACAACTGCTGGCTCGTGGGGCTCATTTTCTGCCCCGACGGGGGCCCTCCCGGGGCAGGCTTCTCCTGCTGCACCCTCCCCGACCTGGCTCACAGAGCTTCCTTCCCCGGCTGCCACAGGGGCCTGTGCGCACGGCCGCCCTGTGGCAGGTCCTCGTCCCACAGCCCCCCTCGCGTCTTGGCCCGGCTGATGTGGCCTCCTGCGCGCAGTTCCTCGGCTAAGTCTCCTGGTCCTTGAGACAGGGGAGCTGCCTGTCATACACTCTCAAAAACGCCTTTCTCCAAAGCCCTCTGACAACCTGTCTCTGCATTCATCTGATCACCCCCCTCAAAGGACCACCCTCATAGCAGGACTGGTCTCCTGCCTGCCAGCGGGCCAGCACAGACTTGGCACCGTGCACTCTCTGCAGATCACACGGCCGAGAAAACAAATGGCGACCGGGGCAGCTGCTGGGCTATTGGCTCCCTCAGCCCCGAGACCCCAGGAGGCAGATCAGCCGAATGCAGGCCTCACACCTCAGCCTGTCACCGGACACTGCAAGTTACAAAGCCACGTCATGGTGCAGCCTGCTGCTTTGCCCGGCCCTACCCCAGGGGAGCAGCCCGGGAGACCCACCTCCGCAAGCCCCAGCCCCGGCTTTGAAGAAGCGCACTCTCCGGGCCGAGCCCAGCTCTGTGCCTTGCTGCCAGGAACCCTCCCCATGGAGGGGCTGTGGGAGCAGTCACTTCACCTCAACCCTAGACCAGGGCTGCTCTGACAAGTGGCCCCGGCTGACAGGGGAGAGTCTTTTTCTTCGCACACCCGGTTCATGCCGCAAACGTTCCCTTTCATCCAGAGAGCAGTTTCAAACCCAGCCAAACCACGGCGTGGCAGAGCCTGGCATCTGGACGCCTCACGCAGCACAGGAGAGACGGCTGGAGGCTGCACCGGGGCAGTGGGGACGTCCCGTGAGAGAGGGGGAGAGTCAGGGGGGAGGACCCTGGAAGACTCTCTCCCCGCTTTGTCTGGCGGGCAGAGGGCAGGTGCTGGGACCTGACAGAGGGCCACAGCATCAAGGGGGGCCCTTCCTGAGATGGACTGACAGTCACTGCCATGCTGGCCAGCAGGCCCAGCTGTGCGATGGTGCAGGACTGATCCTGGGTCCCTCGTTACACATAAAGCTGCCCATCGGTCAGTCAACCCGGTGACGACAAAGGACTCCCCACTCCTGGGCCCTGAGCCCCACAGGATTGACTCCAAAACAGACCGCCCAGGGTGACTTCCAGTCCAGGGGGCTCTGCCCGCCAGCGCTTTCCCTCCTCGCCAAGGAGGCCCCGGTATGGAGACCCCTGTGCCAGGGCCTTAAGAGGGCTTCTGTCTGGCTGCGAAGGCCACGAGCTCAGGCAGACCTGGTCCTGCAGCCAACGCCCCCTGCTGCATGTGGTCTCATGACAGAGGCCAAATTCCACACGGCTGTTTGCACAAGGAGGAGCCCTGGTGGTGTGGTGGTTACAGGTTGGGCTGGGACCCACGGGGTCGGCAGTTTGAAACCCCAGCAGCGCCAAGGGGAGAGGGCTGGGCTGACAGTCAGTCTCGGAAACCCACAGGGGGTCACTAGGAGTCACACTGACTCAATGGCACGGTTTGGTTTCCGGGGAGGGGGATGTTGTTTGGTTTACAGAAGAAGGGCCCTGGTGATATAGTGGGTTACACATTGGCTGCTAGCCACAAGGTCCACTGTTCAAAACCACCAGCTGCTCTGAAGGAGAAAAATGAGGTAATCTACCCTTGTAAAGATATACGGCCTTGGAAACCCACAGGTGCAGGTCTACCCTGTCTTACAGGCAGAATCGACTAGACCGGCGGTTCTCAACCTGTGGGTCGTGACCCCGTTGGGGATTGAATGACCCTTCCTCAGGGGTTGCCCGATTTATAACAGTAGCAAAGTTACAGTGATGAAGTAGCAATGAAAATGTTATGGTTGGGGGGTCACCACCACATGAGGAACTGTATGAAAGGGTCGCGGCGTCAGGAAGGTGGAGAACCGCTGGACTAGAGGGAAATGGGCGTGGTCTGGAGAAGAGCGTCTGTCTGGGAGCCCCCAGTTCCGTCAGGCTGGAGGGAAACGGCGTCTGAGCCCAGAGGGTGGGTGGGAATCCACACACAGCCCAACCTGACGTGTCGTGGGAGAGGGGTAGCAGGCACGCCCCTGACATCGCGTGTGCTTTGGCCACGTCATCGGGAGAGACCAGGCCCTGGAGAAGACCCCTCAGTGAAAAGGTGGCACACACTGGCTGCAACACCAAGCCCAGTGTCATGAAGACAGGATGGGGCAGCACTGGGTGGCGTTACCGGCCGCTGGCCGTGGTGACTCTGAGTAGGAAGTGAAGAGTCCCCCAACATGAGCGGGCTGCCAGGATCACGCCCGGCTTCCAGGACCTGGTCTTGCCAAACTCCAGATGGCCCAGGTGGGGGAGGGCTCGGTGACGTCTTGTCTGTCGTGGGCTTTGGGAACCTGATGGCTCTCAGCCCCGGTCCATTCACCCAGGAGACAGAAGCAGGGACTTCTGCTTCATCCACCGCACAGGGTGGCTGGAAAACCAGTCCCATCGGACGGGTCAAAGTGCCACACAAACACACGGTCTTCCCAGCTAGGCATGAACCCCCGGATGTGATGTCCCTCACACATGTACCCACCACTGGCCACACGCTGCTCTGTGAGCCTTAGATAAGAGGGTGACTACCCCTCCAGGGAAGCCAGAGCCCAGCCCACGGGCACATGTTGACCACAATGTCACTAGCTGAGAGCTGGCTCCAAAGCTCGGGCCTGAGTCACGTAAGGGGCTAGCCATTCCAGAAGGGACTGGAGTATGGGAGACGAGATGACCCCCCCAAATGCTCCAAAACCATGTTCACACAGTCAGGAGACTCTGAGGTGCACCCAAAAAACCAAAGTGCCGGCTGATAGACGTCCCACCCAATGACCTAGGGCAGGCAGGGGCTGCCTGGTGGCCCTAGAGCCGCGCTGCCTTAGCTGGCTAAGCCGGTGGTGGGAGAAATGGTCTCACCACATACAAGACAACGCAAGCCACTCACCCCAGTTCTTCACAGAAGGCCACCAGGGCATCAAAGGCTGCGATGGCAGCTCTGTCGGACGCCTTGTTCCCCCTCTTTTCCTGGAGGCGAGAAATGGCTGGTTAGCAAGTCTTAGAGAGCTGGACCACGCTGTGGACACAAAGCAAGGGTGGAGGAGAAAACTGCTGATGGGGCCCGTGGACTGGCACTCGGGAACCCCTGTATACCACAGGCTAGGTAATGGGCTGCTAACCTTGAGGTCGGCAGTTTCAATCCACCAGCCGCTCGCTCCACAAGAGGAGGAGTCAGCCTGGCTTCAGGAAAGAGGCACAGCTTTGGAAACCTACAGAGAAATCCTGTTCTGTCCCATGGGTGACTAGGAGCCAAATCAACTGGACAGCACGGGTTTGGGTTTGGGGACAGTGAATACAGGAACCAGTATGCTACCACATCTGTGCGCAGATACATCTGTACACAGTCTTCTTGGCACAATGGTCAAGGGCTCCTGTGGCAATTTGAACCCACCCAGTAGATTCTTGACAGGAGCCCTCATGGCACAGTGGTTGAGCTGGGCTCCTAACCACAGGGTCGGCAGTTTGAAACCACCATCTGCGCCTCAGGAAGAGGAGCCTGTGGACTTCAGTAAGGAGTGAAAGTCTTGGAAACCCACAGGGGCGCCTCCACTCTGCCCTCTAGGGCTGTTCTGGGTCAGAGGCGACTCCAGGGCAGGGAGTCTGGCTTTCTGGTTTGCCAAATAAAGTGTCCACCACACAAGGTTAGTAAGGAAAGTATTGTTTTAAGGGGGAGAGAAAAACCTAACCTTGCTTGTTGCAGACGGCCTACCCACCCAACAGGCCATTTCTCTCTCCACTGAATGCACAGTAAGGAGCCCTGGTGGGGCTGCTGACCCAAAGACCAGCTGTTTGAACCCCCCAGCTGTCCCCGGGGAAGAGACGAGCCTGTCTCGAGAGGACAGGTTGGAAACCCCATGGGGCACCTCTGCTCATACAGGGTTGCTATGAGCTGGAATCAGCCTGGTGGCACCTTTTTTTAAGATGCTCAGGGATACCCTGGTCATGCCGTCTAGGCCCAGGCCCAGGCCCCTCTGTGGGAGCGGAAATAAGCTGTGTGTTGTTAGAAGAATGATGGGGCCCGATGGGCCAGGACGTACCTGGAGTGTGGCTACTTCCTTCCTGATCAGGAAGCTGACCTGGTCCCGGTCGCTCCTGGAGTAATAGAGACGGCACCAGGCAGGCTTCCCATCCCTGCCGGCCCGGCCAGACTCCTGGTAGTACCCCGCCATCGACTTGGCGATGTTCCAGTGGGCGACAAACCTGCAGGGACCAGAGGGACAGCAGCCTGAGACGTGCCGGAGAGATTGGGGAGGAGGGGCTTGGCCTCAGCCCCTCGGGGGCTTCTCACAGAGCCCCAGGAGGAAGGAGCCTGCGGGCAGGAAGGGAGAGCTAGGGCATGGCAACCCACCTGCAGGCCCCTTGGCTCTGGGATAGCCCAGCTCAGAGGCCACTGCAGGGGTTAGGGAGGTGTGCCAGTTGACATGAGGAACCCCAGAAAGCACATGGCCAAGGCCAAGTAGAAAGCAATGCTAGATGGCTCGGCTCTGCCACTTGAGAGCCAGACCCCGAAGATACTCCTTTGAAATGGAAAAGGCAATCAACCAGCTGACGTCGAACGAAGCCAGCTCAGGGCTACCACGTACACGTCAGCTCCGGGATGGCTTACTCCTCTTTCACTTAAACGTTACTGCCACCACCATGTGGGGTCGTCGCCCCAGTCTAATGATGACGGACATGAGATTCAGAGGTAAATTTGCACATGGTCACCCAGCTAGGAGCCAGAAGGGCCAGGATTTGAGCCCAGTGGTGGCTGACTTTGAAGTTGGCCCCTAGTAAGACCCAAGGTGGAGAGTCCTATTCCAGTTCCATGCTCTTTACAGTGCAGTTCACTGAGTAATTCCTTCCCTGGGAGCGCAGTCACTCTGTGGCTTAGGGGTCCCATGGGCCAAAGCACCTGCTAAACCATCAAGGCATTCCTGAGAGCCAATCAGAGGAAGGAGCAGTCTCTCCAGGCTCAGGCTTCATGGCTAAGAGTCAGGTAAATACTTCCCAATAATTTCCAGGGCGGGGCTAGGAATGGACAGTCGGTCAACTGGGATGAGGAACGGCGGTGACCCCATCTTTGCCTTTGTCTTTCTGCAGGGAGCTGTTTTAGACCCTCCTTCCTTCCAGCCACCTAGCAGGGCCCTTCTACCGGGGCCTTCTAGTCAAGGCTGGGCTGCGGTCACAGAAGAGTTCGGCAGGCTGCATGTCGCCTGCTTTCCAGGGGATTGTCTGAACCCCGGGCTGCGCAGTCACCTGGGGGCAGGTTCACAAGGACTTCCAGGGCTTGTGCCGCTCACATCCTAGGGATGCAAACTCTGGATACTCCATCAGGTCCCCTCTGACCACAGAAGGTGGTGCACCACACCACCATCTCCAAGCCAGGCCCCAACCAGGACGCTGACGCAGAGAAGCAGAGCTCACCTGACATTGGCCTTGTCCACGCCCATCCCGAAACTAATGGTGGCAACAATTACAGGGACTTTCTCCTCCATCCACTCGTTCTGCACCAGCGTTCTCTCCGGGGTCTTCAGCCCTGCACAGGACGAGGAGGAAGAAGAGGGAGCTCGAATGCTCGTGCCTGGACCTGGTAGTCTACCTGGAGTGGGGCACGTCATACCCCTCGAGCCCCGCCCCCCAGCCCACCAGCTGTGTCAGAGCAGCAGCCCCCCATGCTCACCCCAGGGAAGGTTAAATGATAGCTCAAGGTCACAGGACTAGTGAGGAGCAGAGGCGACAGGCACGCCCCCGCCTCCTGATCCCCAGAGCCAGCGCTCTTCCTACAACACTGAGACCTGGGGTCATACCAAGTCCACTAGGCATGCCTTCCAGCACACTGCAGAAAGCTAGAAGCCACCGCATCTGCTGCAAAATTCCCAAACCCAAACCCGCTGCGGTGGAGATGACTCTGACGCATCCCACCCCTACAGGGCAGGGTAGAACTGCCCCTATGGGTTTCCAAGACTTTAACTCTTTACAGGAGCGGAAAGCCGCCTCATCTTTCTCCCGTGGAACGGCAGGCGGTTTTGAACTCCCGACCCTGAACTACAAGAACCTCCAAAGACAGAAGAAAGCCATGGCCAACTGAGTCTTCCGCTTTAACTTTGTCCCGAGGGCAATGGAGGACGAATGGGCTCCAAGCCTGCTCCACGGCTGATGCTGAATCAGAGAGCCTCCCCCACACCCAGGCGGCCCAGGCTGTTTCGCAGTGTCTGTCCTTTGAGGACAATGGGCTTCAGGCAAGGGGACAATCTGGGCACAGGGATTGGTGAGAATTAAACAATGTGGGCACATTTAAAGTCACTCGACGGGACGTGTGAAGATGACAAAGTGTTTTTGCTAACTCAGTATCTGTCACAACTAAACAAAACCCCACACCAAATGCCTCTCCGGCTGCTAGGGTGAGGAGGACGGGGGGGACACTCGAGAGGACAGTTTTCGTCGTCATCGCCCGTTCTTGTCTCACATCTTTCAGTAGTTTCCGGGGAATCCCTACCGCTCTGAGATTCTGGATCCCTAATCAGCACACCTGACAACCCACTAAGTGGCCCGAGGCCCTTACCTGCATGGTAAGCCTTGGCGCTCACGCCACGATAGCTGAGCTCGATGGCTAGCTGGTCGCAAGCCTGCCTGGTTCTGCAGTACACAATGCCACAGCCAGAAACCTGACACACATGGGAAGCAAATGAGCACCGGTCAGGACAGAGAGAGCAGCCTCCACCCCCAAACAACAACAAAAACTACGGCCAGCAAGGCTATTCCAACTCACAGTGACCTACAGGACAGAATGTCCTTACAGAACAGCCTGACCTTACAGGACAGAGTGGAACTGCCCCCTAGGGTTTGCAAGACAGTCGTCTTTCTGGAAGCTGACTGCCGCATCTTTCTTCCAGGGAGCAGCTGTGGGTTCGAACAGCAGACCTTTTGGTTAGTGGCTGAGTCCTTCAGCACCCTACCACCAGGGCTCTGTGCTGCACTGCGAGTTGCCTGAAGAGAAGGCCTGTGCTCTCTCTCGGGTTAGCCTCGGCAGTCTCCTTGGAGGCAGGGGGACCAGCAGGGCTCCGCTGTTTTCTTAGGGCCCAGGACCCCAAACGCTCAACATGCAACCTGTTGACTCTGCCTCCTCCCCTGAAACCCTCAGATCAGAGGGAAGCCCATGAGGGGGACACTGCTAGCAAGCAAAGGGGAGGACTCCTCGTAGTGGCTATATGCATTGGACTGTGATCTGCAAGGTTGGCAGTTCAAAACTACCAGTTGCTCTTCGGACGTTTTTACTCCAGTAAACAGTTAATAGTCTCGGCAGCTCAGCGGGGACAGTTCTCTTTCGTCCTGTAAGGCCGCTACGAGTTGGCATCAGCTCGATGGCCGTGTTACAGTGTATGGCTAGTCCTGGCTAAGGAAGGGCTTAGGAAACCGCCATCGCCCTTACGTTGCAGGTAGCACCGCTGCTCCAGATGCACACACCCCCCCTCAGGGCCTCACCCCTTTGTCGGCCTTCTGCCCCAGGGCCTTCAGACAGAAGTCCTTCAGGTTCTCGTAGGGATCGGAGAGCAGTTCCTTGAACTGCACATCATAGAAGAGGTTGGACCGGAAGCAGGGAGTCTTAAAGGTGGCCACTGGGGGCTTCAGGTGCAGGGCAGCAAACACGTCCTCCTGGACCTGGGGGGTGGCGGTGGCGGTCAGTGCCACACAGGGGGCACGTGACAGGCGGGAGCGCAGTGTGCCCAGCCGCAGGTAGTCAGGACGGAAGTCGTGGCCCCACTGGGAAACGCAGTGCGCTTCATCCACCACCAGGCAGGAGAGCAGCTGGCGGGACAGCAGGGAGTCGAGGGTGGGCTGGAAGGAGGCTGCTGCGGCCATCTCCGGGGTGATGTACAGGAGTTTGGTCTGGGGCTTTTCTTGCTGCAGGTCAGAGAGCAGCTCCTTCTTCTCCTGTGCCGAAAGCTTCGAGTTCAGGGAGCGCACGGGGACCTTCAGGGCCAGCAAGTGGTCCATTTGGTCCTGAGAGCAGAAGGTGGGGGACAGGTCACAGAAGGAAGGGTGACTGACTCTCAGCATGCTCAGTGGCAGAAGCCACTGGGGCCTTGCCCCACCAGAAAGAGCCTCCTCCCAATTCTCCAGCAGAAGATGAGGGGGCTGCAGACAAGTGTTGGAGCTCAACACACGTGGACCTAATCTTAGCTCTTGGAATTGCCTCCTGCGCTTTAGCTGGTTTTAGTGATGCAGTGGTTATCAGTTGGGCTGTGTTCCGCATGGTCAGCGGTTCAAAACCACCAGCAGCTCCCTTGAACAGTTACAGCCCCAGAAAACCACAGAGGATGCGGTATGAGTGCGCATGGCCTCGATGGCAGTGAGAGGCCTCTAGGAGGCATCCTGGTGGCACAGTAGTTCGGTAGGCTGCAGTTTGATCCCACCGGCTGCTCTGCTCAAGATAAGACCTGGCGAGTTCTGTCCATCAAGATTCACAGCTGAGGAAACTGGCTGAGAAAGCTCTCCTCTGTCCTACAGGGCTGCCTGCTTCGAGTTGGAATCGGCTTGACGGCAGGACACAGGAGCAGCAAACCCGAGTTTCTGTGTTTCCCCTCTTTCTCTAAAAACTGCAGCCACCAGCCAGGAGGACTCTGAGGGTTCATGAAATCACAGACACAGAGAACTCAGCAAATACTGAGGGCTCTTTGCTAGCCGTGGGTCCCCGCTTCCTGTCTTCACGGTAGATAGGCCTGGGTTTCCTCACTTCCTCAGTTCTGACCTTGCCAGTGAGCCCATCTGCTGGCCTTAAACGCAGGCAGAAGCACAGAGCAGATGTCCCCTGGGTCCCATCGGTTTCCCTCTTTGTTTTTGGTCTTAAAGACAGAAAGTGAGAGACTTGCCCCTTCAACTCAGTTCTCTGCATCCCCCATCCCCAGGGTCATGCTTGCACCTGTGTACGTGTGGGCTGGACTGTGCATGTGTACAGACACTGTCCCATCCGCCTTGGGACAGGAAGCAATGAAGGAGGGTGAGGGGCCTCAGGTCATCCAAACACAGATTATCCAGGACACTAGTGACAGGCACTAGGGGGTAGCCCCACACTTCGGCAAATTTAGAGAGTGGGGAGAGAGGGCGGGAGGCAAATCAGAGAAGATGAGAGGCAATCGGTCAAATACAGCAGTAGGGAAATGGCCAGTTCTACAAAGCTTCCCCCGCCCAGCCATTTGGGCCCCACTCTCCATCACCCTAGGTAAGCCTTACCTGAATCAGAGCAATGAGGGGGGAAATGACGATGGTGATGCCTTTGGCCAACAGGGCAGGGAGCTGATAGCAGAGGGATTTTCCTGCCCCTGTGGGCATGCACACAAAGACATCCTTGTCACCTGCAAAAACACACGGCAGGGACATCTCAATGGTGCCTGCCTTTTCCTACGTCGGGGTTGTTTAAAACACAAGAGAATGTGCAGGAAAGACAACTAGCCGAGTGCCTGGTAGTGTGTGTGTGTGTGTGTGTGTGTCTCGGTGTAATATTCTCTCGCTCTCCTGTGAAAGAGGTCACATGTAAAGGGCAGTACTCCTGGGGAGAGCGTGCCCAACTACACCTGCCGCACAGCCACCTCTGGCAACAGCAATAACAATTAAGAGGTAAGAGAGCTTGAGTCTCCCAGGCAGTGGATTATTATTATTTTTTAAAGGAAATGGATTGAACACCCATGAAAAGAAGTATATGCTTGATGAATGGATATATTGGTGTAGACGTGGCAGCAACATTGCTTAGAAGTAGTTTGTTTATCAATAGGTCACCAATAGGAGGAGCCCTGGTGGTGCAATAGTTAAGCACTCGGCTACGAATCCCAACTCAATCACTTGAATCCACCCAGCTGCTCCGAGGGAGAAAAGACCTGGTCACGTGCTCCTATAAAGATGACGGCCTGGGAGACCGTATGGAGCAGTTCTGTGCTGTCCTTCCTACAAGGTCACTACGAGCGTTGACTCCATGGCATGAGACCAACAACACTGATGTTCCCCTCTTGACAACCTCCCCTGCCACCTCATGTCAGGTGATTGACATGACTATTATCATTCCTTTTCCCATCTGGGACTCAAGCCATTCAGTCTACAGCAGGGGCATTAACCAGGTCAGAGACTGAATTGGCCTCTTCTGGCCACCTCTCCTACTGCCTGCACACACCATGTAGTTCCCAAAGGCAGTCTGTACTGTTCTTATTGAAATGAAAGGACCAGATGCTCCGGGCGGTTCTGCCATTAAAGCTGTATGCCTTGGGTAACAAGTCTTCAAGATTTTCAAACCCAGTTACATACCGGGTTGGAAGGGTCAAGGAGGGTGGTTCTGACAGTGCTACAGTGAAGCCAGCAAAAATGGACCCACAGGTAGCATGGTATTGTTACCTTTCACTACAGCCATGGTTGCACTCTCCTGCAAAGGTGTCTTAAAGGAGTCAAACCCAAAGACTTTCTTCAAGGTGCTCCGCACTCGGCGTTCGGGGCCAACAGGCAAGGAGGAACGGTGGGTGCTCATCTTAGCAAGAGGCACCGGCTGAAGGTTAAAATAAAGATCACGTGATTGCCACCAGAGCCCTCTGTTAAGCTTGAGAATCATCGCCTATTTTTCTCCGAGTATACTGTATATCAGATCTATTACACTCAAGTAAGGACCATGGGTGTGGCGGTGATTGAAAGTGCTAGGCTGCTAGCTGTGCCAGGTTGTGTTGGTATCCACCAGCTGCATCAAGGAGAAGGATGTAGCTGTCTGCTTCGGTCAAGATTACAGCCTTGGCAACCCCGTGGGGGAGGGTTTTGCTCTGTCCTCTAGGGTGACTTTGGTGGGAACCCACTCCCTAGCAGTGGGCGGGCTTACACTCAAGCCATAGACTCAAGTGATATAGCTGAGGGTGATTAACAACTCCGACACAACAATAAACGGCTCCGCTTTCAAGCCCAGTGACAATACAGAGCATCGAACCATCCAGGGCTGCGCTGCAGCATGGAGCAAAAAGAAACACGAGTCTTCGGGGTAGTTCGGAGAATGTGGGCACTGTCTTTCTAAGATCCCCAGTAGGCGTTTCTTTGATGAGCACAGCCAAGAAGACCACTCGTCTTCTGGGGACCTCGACCGCTCCCTCCCACCCCTCAAAGGGGACTCCCCTCGGCCTCCCCGGAGCACCCGATACCTTTTCCCTTCTCCAACCGAGGCTTCCTTGCCCTCACCCCAAGGTATCAGGGCAGGGAGGGCTCGTGCCGGGCCGCGGCTGCCCGCTGGCTCAGGAACTAGTCGCAGAACCCCATGTGTCAGCCCCGGGCCCGAAAACTCAGAGAGCAGCAAATTCGAAGCGCCGTAAATTCCCACACAGCCCGGCACCCGTCGCTCGGTGATGACGTAGGCAGCGCCCTGTCGCGAGGGGCGGGGCTAAGCCCGAAACGGCCGTTTTGATTGGCTCCCGGCCGACCGCCCTCGCGAGGTCTCCTGGGACCCGGACCCAGTGGGCTCGGCACACAGAAGTCGGCTTCCTGGAGTCCTCCAAGTGGACGCGAGCCGCTTTGGCGCCGTGGGGCCTGGATGGCGGGGAAGAAGAACGTGCTGTCGTCGTTAGCAGTGTACGCGGAGGATTCAGAGCCCGAGTCTGATGGCGAAGGGGGAGTCGAGGCGGCGGGCAGCGCGGCTGGTGAGGCCTGAGGTGGAAGGGAGCATGGGGTGTCTGCGGGGTGCTTTATGGCCCGAGTACATGGAGCGCTGCTAAGGGGGGGAGATCGGTAGGACCCCCCCCCCAGCCGCTTCGCGGGAGAAAGTCGGAGTCGACTCGACGGCAGTGCGTTTGGGGTCGTGTTTTTGTGGAACCCCAAATATCCAGCCGTGGATCCCCTCAGGGTGAATCGGGGTCCTGTGCAGGTCTCACTATCGGAGGCTCTACTGAGAGTGGGTCACCTCGATAAGAATATGGTGCCTCAACTGACTAAAAGTCCTCTCTGAGGGGGCATGGGGTTGGGCAGAGGGAGGGATCCGTTCATTGCACTTCTGGGCCGCTTTTGGTAGGAGTAAGCCAAAAGTAAACTTACATGGAGGGTTGTGCCCCGTTATAACTGTTAGTGAGCAATAATGTGCCTCATCCACATCTAAGAGCCTGTAAAATACAGACGTCCCGTCTCCACTGCAGAAAGCCCAATGCATTAGGGCGCTCCTTGCTCTCTTACCACCCACCCATCAGCGATTTCATTGCCCTGCCTTGGTGAGAATCGGTGTTAGAGAATGGGAACAAGCGCTTGGGGGAGTTAGAAAACAAGTTGCCTAATATCCAGGGGACTTGCAAAGTGGACAGGATTTAAATCAGTCGGCTCTTTCAGCAACCTGATAGATGAGGGGGCACCCCAAAAAGACCAGAATTTCCCCCCCAAAGCTATGTATTTCAATTTTTTCACAAAACCTTATCCCTTTCAAAGTGCTCTCCATTACACTTAATGTGTTTGTCAAATCTGCGATTCCATTCGTGGAAACATTTTTCGAACTCATCTGTTTGGATGGCTGACAGCACCTCCCTTGTTTTTATCTTCACCTCTTCTTCATCGTGAAGTCTCTGTGCTTTCATGTCCCTCTTCATTTTCAGAAGCAAAAAGAAGTCACAAAGCAAAGTCAGGTGAATAAGGTGCGTGGGGCAAGAGAGGCATGCTGGTTGTTTTAACCAAAAACTGGTGCATTGAGTTGGCTGCATGAGCAGATGCATTGTCGTGGTGACAAAACCAGTCTCCCGTCTGCCACAGAGTAGGCCTCTTTTTGTCGCACACTATCACACAATCTTTTCAGAACCTCTAACTAGAAAGCTTGATGAACAGTCTGACCTGGTGGAACGAAGTCCAAATGCACTATCCCCCTCACGTCAAAAAAACAGACGAGCATCCTCTTGATCTTTGATTTCACTTGACAAGCATTTTTTGGGTGAGCTGATGATGGCATCTTCCACTGGCTGGATTAATGTTTGCTTTCAGGAGAAAGAATAAACACCGTCCCTCGTCACCAGTAATGACCTTGGGAAAAAAGTCTGGGTCCCTTCGGAGCTGTTCTTTCAAAGCATGTCCTGTGTCCAGTCCATGTGCTTTTTGCTGGTCAAGCAGAACCTGAGGCACATTCCCAAATATTCCGTTAAAATTCATTGAACCGAGTGCCAAGATAGTCCAGACAACGTCCCCCTCTCTTCAATGGTCTGTCATCGGTCTTCGAACAAGAGTGCATGCATTTTTGTCAACATTTTTATCCTTTGGGGAAGCTAATGGGCGTCCAGAATGAAGTCTGTCATCAAACGACATTTCGCCTTTTTTGAAACAAAACCACTCATACACTTGAGTTTTTCCCATAGTGCTGTCCTTGGAAGTGTTGTGTTCAACATCACAACAGTGCGGTATTTTTCCCGAGCAGGAAACAAAATTTCGCAGCTGCATGCTGTTCTCTTAAATCGGCCATCACAAAAAACGAGGTTCAAGCCAAACTGTTTTTACAAAAAAATACACCGTGTCTAGAGAGAACCTTCCCAAGCGACGCCACTGGGTGCGGTAACTCAGAGCAAGTTGCTCAATGCTTGCCTAGCAGCAGGGGGTGGGGGGTAGGGGAGGATGTGGGGGGAATGCATACTATGAAAGCTCTGCTCCGCTCAGTGCAGTTCCGGTGGGGGATTTTTTGGTCCCCCTCGAATAACAGAACTAAGCAGTTGCCCTGCACTGAGCCACCGTCCTGGTCTCCGCCACATTTGAGCCCATTGTGAAACTGGTCAGCTCCTCGCGGGTTGGGTTGCTTTGTGTGATCTCTTCCAGTCAGGGTGTTCTCTGATGGTTTCCCAAGAGTGTGTAGGGGGTTTTATTTGTTCTGTTGTGAACATAGAGAAAAGATTTTGCTTCTCAAGCGGGGGTGGTTGGGTACCCCTCGGGATGCCCCATGGCCAAGGTGAGGATACACAGTAGTGAGCAAGCCAGAGAGTCAGATGCTGTCTCGTTGAAGAAGACAAGTTCACGGGTTGACCTATAACCCGTCAAGGGAGATGTTCAAGCAACTTGCTATAGTCGTTCAGAGAAGAGAAGACGACATCAAGTTACATCATATTTAGAAACACGTGTATATTTGGTACTTGGATTTTTCTCTGTTTTTTAAATGATCCCTCCCACTGAATGCTGACCTCCCTCATGACTGAGACTGGTCTGTAGTTACTTATATGAGACCTGTGGGCCCCTGTTGTCTTCTGAAGGAGCCCTGGTGGCACAGCAGGTTAAGTGCCGAGCTGCTTAACGGAAAGGTTAGTTCTTGGAATGCACCACTCCTTAAGCGAAAGAGGAGGCAGTCTGCTTCTGTAAAGATTTACAGCTCTCGAAACTGGGCTCAGAGTCACTGTGGGTCGGAATCCAAACTGCGGAGCAGCTCTGCTGTGGGCTCTGGAGTCGCTAGGGGTCCATCAACTCAGTGGCAGTGGGTTCTCCTCAGAGGTGGTCCCGGCCATGCAAGTCCCTGGAGTCCTTTCTTGCCTTTTTCCTCCTCTGATGTTCTTTCGTTGCTCGTTCAGAGGAGAAAGGAGGGCTGGTATCTGAAGCCTACGGAGAAGATGACTTTTCTCGTCTCGGCGCTGACGAAGATGGTTATGAAGAAGAAGACGATGAAAACAGCAAACAGTCGGTAGGTCGATCTCTCCCCATCCCCAAGGCCAGCGCTGCGCCAGGCACCATTCTGTTTGTCTGGAGTGCTCTGATTGGTACCCAGGATGTCCCGTTTTCCATTTCTAGGCAGGCTTCATCCTCCTGCCCGTCCAGCCCCATCCCCACATACGTTTTTGTATCAGTTGAATGAAACCAGGTTAAAAATATCCGTGGTTCTCTTTGCTGATGGAGGACATTGTCGCCTGGACCGTTTCATGTTCACCTTGAACTTGGCATTTGGGTGGGGAAAGGTAATGTGCTGTTCTGTCTACCCTGGGTTGGGTGTGGGTTTTCTTGGAGTGGTGGACCAGCTCAGCTGTGGCCAGTGCGGCTGTGGAGAAGGCCTGGTCTGCGCTCTGCTGGCCTCGTGTGGCGAAGCAGCAAGGCTGGACAGGATGGGTCGGTGGCTGTCCTGACAGCTCTTGGATAAAGGTCAAAGCCCACTGAAGCGGACACAGGAAAGGCTGGGGTCTGCCCTTGTGGGGTCCCTTCCTGCTGCTTCCATTGGGGTGGTGCTGCTGGGCCGGGGCCCAGTTGGGGCAGCGGGCAGGGGGCAATGGGCAGTGGGAACTGTGGGAATCAGGGCAGGCAGTAAGTGATGTCATGCAGGGCGGGGTCAAGTCTAATGCGTTTCTGTGTGTGAAAAGCAAATGATTGCTCATCCAGGTTTTAAATCTTTGACTTTTTTTTTTTTTGAAACATTGTGCCTGTGAGTCCAGTCTTAGTCTTTCTCCATTTTCCTGACTCCATTTTCTTTTCTTTTTAAAAAAATTATTTTATTTGGGGCTCTTACAGCTCTTTTGTTGTTGTTGTTGAAATCATTTTATCGGGGGCTCGTACAACTCTTATCACAATCCATACATGCACCCATTGTGTCAAGCACATTTGTACATTTGTTGCCATCATCATTCTCAAAACATTTGCTTTCTGCTTAAGCCCTTGGTATCAGCTCCTCATTTTCCCCGTCCCTCCCCCTACTCCTACCCTGGTGATCCCTTGATAAATTATAAATTATTACTGTTTCCATATCTTACACTGGCTGCTGTCTCCTTTCACCCACGTTTCTGTTGTTCATCCCCCTGGGTTGGGGTGGAGATTGTGTTCCTCCTCTCTCCCCTCCTGACCCCCACCTTCTCCCTACCCTCCTGGTATCGCTACTCCCATTTCTGAGGGGTTTATCTGACCTGGATTCCATGTCTCCTGAGCTTTTATCTGTAACCAGTGTACATGCTCCGGGTAGGCAGGACTGAAAGGCAGGACTGGGGTCATGAAGGGGGTTGGGTGGGTGGGGATGCCTCAAAGAGCCAGAGGAATAGTGTGTGCTTCATCGGTGCTGTACTGCACCCTGGTTGACTCATCCCTTCCTTGTGACCCTTCTGTGAGGGGATGTCCCATTGCCTGAAGATGGATTTTGGGTCTCTGGTCCGACCTCCCTTGTTTTCAACATGTTGTTTGTTCTGGGTCTTCTGGTGCCTATTTTCTGATCTGTGGACACCTCACGGTCACACAGACTGGTGTGCTTCTTCCATGTGGGATTTTTGTTTCTCAGCTAGATGGCTGCTTGTTTAACTTCAAGCCTTTAAGACCCCACATGCAATATCTTTTGATGGCTGGGCACCATCAGCTTTCTTCACTATATTTGCTTATGCACTCATTTTGTCCTCAGTGATTGTGTCAGGAGGGTGAACATCACAGAATGCCAGGTTGTTAGAACAAGGGTTGAGGGAGGGCTTGAGCAGAGGCCCAAAGTCTGTCGACTTTCTCAATGTATTGCAATATAAATAGAGTACACCAGCTAATACCTCTTTTTATGAATTAATATATTTATATGAATGCACCCCTATGTTTATACCTCTATCCATAGCTCTGCTTCCTAGATCTTTCCTCTGTTTCTTTTTTACTTTCCTCCTGCCCCACCATCACGCTCGCCCTTCTTCTGCCTCTTAGTCATCCCCTCAGCTAGATTGCTGTTGCCCCAACCCCCCCAGGATCTCTACTCCTCCTCGTTGTTGACTTTAATTCCCTCGTTGTTCTCCCCTGTCTGTGGCGTCGTTTGCCCACCACTCCCTTCTCCCACTTCTTCCTCCTCCGAAGGAGCCCCTCTTGCTTCTGACGCCTCTTTACTTTTCTAGACGAACAACGGGAGCCCCTCCGGGTGATTCTACCTGCACACCATCTTGACTCCTCCTCCCATTTTCTCCACTTTCATGTCTCTGATTTTTACTTCCTCCTGGGTTTTCATTAGGTGTTGGGCTGCTAACCACAGGGTCAGCAGTTCAAAACCGCCAGCCACGGGGCATGGGAGAAAGAAAAAGGAGGCTTTCTACCCCAGAAAGAGTTGCAGTTGTGGAAACGCACAGGGCCGTTGTATTTTGTCCCAGGGTGGCCAGGAGTGGACTCGGCTAGATGCCAGTTTTTTATGGCAGCCTTGGCCCAGCAGTTGGCTTAGCTTTCTCCTCCTCTTCCTGTAGCTTCAGGTCAGGCACTGGGGAAGGGGTTCTTAGCGGGCTGACTCAGGCAGGGGAAGGGAGCTACTTGCACCAACCTCGATTATGTGTGGGAGAGCCCACACACCCCTCCCTGAAGCTTACCCCTGTAACATTCTTTGTCTTGCAGGAAGACGACGATTCAGAGACCGAGAGACCTGAGGCTGATGACCCAAAGGTATTTGGTGTTGGCGGCCTGGGGCGGTTGCATGTTCATACTGTGGCTCCGTGCACGTGCCTGTCAAGCTTTACCCCACTGACACACACTGTAACCCTGTTTACACTGTCTGGGGTGGAGCAAGCTTTATAAAGAAAGAGCCCACCCAGGGATGAGTCAGTCCCCAGAAAGGTTGTGGTCCATCCCTTGCAGCTAGTACCAGAGCTCGGAGTCTAAATGAGAGACTTGGCTGAACCCAGCAGCCCACCTGTGATGTACTTCTCAGGTGGGGCTTGGTAGGGCCCCTGCCCCTGCAGTGGGCTCGGTGGGCAAAGGGTCCTAGAACATACTGCCTGGCATGCTCTGGGTCCTCCGCTGTCTTGTAGAGGTGAAGAGGGGCAGCCAGTCAGACCTCAGGAGGCCTCTGCTGAGCTGGAGCCTGCTTCTGCTGGGCTGGGCCCCTCCACGCAATAAGCCATGAGGAATGCTCTTTTTGAAAACAACACAGCCATTTCTTCTATTTCCATCCCAGTAGCAGCTGAGAGTTATTAACAGCGCTTCCTGTCACACTCCTTGATGGCTCAGCACGGATGGAGGCTCAGACCCCCTCGTGTTGGGTAAGATTGCTACACTGGGCCCAGCCCGGTCGAGTGGGCCTGAGGCACAGACAGTTGGTAGGAGACTAATTTCCTCCCGCTGGGGGAATAGGGACCAAATTGGTGACTCTCAAAAAAACCCAGTGCCATCAAACCGATTCCAACTCATAGTGACCCTATGGCCAGGGTAGAACTGCGCTGTGGGTTTCTCTGGGACTGTGAATCTATACGGAAGTAGACCATTTTCCCCCTGCATGTCGGCTGTTGGCTTTGAACTACTGACCTTGCCACTATGCATCACCACGAGACCACCAAGGCTCTTTAGTTGTGAGCCCAGGGACCTAGTGGAATTTGGGGGTGATGACCAACTCGTCCAAACCAGCGTGTGCCCAGAAGTGTAGAGTGTGAACTGTCCCAGGTGTGAGCAGCATCTGGATGGGCATCTCTCCGAAGGCCCAGCGTCAGGGCCCTGAGTGAGGGAGAGGAGCACCCGCCCACAGCGTACAGGAGGAAGGCAGCCTGAGCTTGGGGGGGCTGCAATACAGGCTCCTTTCTGTGCAAGTGGGCATCCCAGGCCTGACACCTTGCCCACTTTCCTCCCAGGAGGGCATGGGGCAGACCTGGGGCCTTGCTCAGAGCAGTCGGGGTTCTGCTGTGGCACGCAGAAAAGAAGCCATTCCAAGCGATGGCCGCTTTCGCTCCTGGGCTATCACCATGCTCTGGAAAGCTGCCTGGGGAAAGGATGTGGTGTGGGACCTGGGGAGTGTGTGCAGCTTCGGCCCTTCATCTTGGGCTGGACGGCTCCTGGGAGGGTGTCAGGCGGGGAGCAGCGTGTGCATAACCCCTTAACTGTGGGATCACTCCCCCCTTCTGTAGTGCAGTGGCCGTGTGGGAAACAAGACAGACTTCTCCGCTTGGGAGCTGTTACAACAGCTGGGAGGTGGTGAGTGGGCCCGTGGACTCCCCAGCCTGTCTGAGCCCCACACCACGGTTGAAGAGGACCTGTTGGTTATAGGCCTCCTGACGGACAGTGTACCTTAGAGACCTCATCTGCTGTGTGAATTTTAAGCCTTTTTCCCCGGTGGACCAGAAAGTGTGCATGGGAGCTCGCCCAAGTGTACGGCGGCGTTTTTAGAGCTTGCCTTCGCGTGGATCTTTGTTAGCAAGCGTATTGGTGTATTAACGGTCTTTCCCACTAGATGGCAGTCTCCTGCCTGCTTTGATTTTTCTTTTTTTTTTAAGGCCCATTTTCTAAAGTTTCTGCCCCAGCAGTTCTCAAGCGATTTGGTTTGTTTACCAGTTTAAAACAGAGGATTGCAAAGAGTTTCGTTCATTTTGGTTTTAGCATATTGATATTTACTCTCTTACAAGTGAAAAACGGAGAAAATCCTTCATGTTATTGTAAAATGGCACTACCGTATACACTCGTGTATAAAACCGAGTTTTCCAGCACATTTTTAATAGTTTTTGTGGTAAAATTAGGTGCCTGTGCCTTGGCTGATATTGGGGTGGGCTTATACGGGTCGGTATGTTCGGTAATAAGTCTATGGCATTTGTTCAGGAAAAGAACTCTTGTTTAAAAATCACTGCCGGAGGGCATCGCTTGGTCCTTTTACAAGTCCCCTTGACGTCTGACTGCGTGCAGACGGGCCGCTTCCTCGCGCTTCCCTTTCCTGCCGGCGCGGCTTGTGCATGTGTTGTGCAGATGGAGGTGTAGGCGACCCCACCCCCCCAAAATACCCCTGCCATCCAGTGGGTTCCAGCTCACATGGGGTTTCCGAGGCGTCCGTCTTTTCAGGAGCAGATCGCCTCCTTTTCCTCCCTTGGAGCTGCTGGTGGGTTTGAACCACTGATCTTGAGGCTAGCAGTCCAGTGCTTACCAACAGGGCCACCAGGGCACCTTCAATGCACGCACAACAGCCCTGTGTGCACACAGCTCAGGTGCACCAGGACCCGCGTGTGGCTGGAGGCACGGGGGTTGTATTGCTGTATTGGTTGTATTGCTGTGGCTGGAAACTGAACCCCCAGTCTCGGAGGTCGGCCTGTGGGAGACAGCTGGACACTCCTAGCAGCTTCTGCAGTCCGGCTGTTGCAAGGTGTGGTTTGGGTTGAAGCATTTGAAGAAAGCCAGGGCTGGCACGGGTCAGTGGTTGGCAGCAGGCGCTGTGTTTTACTGGCCCTTTCAGGAGCTCAGGGATTCTTGATGTGTTGCTAACACTCAGCGTGTGCTGATTCCCTAAAAGTCACTTGCAAGGTGGACCCTGAATCATTTTCAGTGAAGTTTTTTGTACTTCTGTGGACTCCACCAATCTGTCTTCTTTGATTTTTTTTAACACCAGACATGCGTGGTTTGGAACATATTTGGAACACACTGGTTTGCTGTGACATATATAGATCATTCTAAAAAACATTGTGCTTATTAAAAACATCACCCATCTCATCAGCGAAGCCCCTAAGTATCGGAAAGCTGTGCGCTGAGCTCGCCCAAGGCCCACTGCTATCAAGCTGATCCAGCTCGTGGAGTTTGGCTAGGACAGCAGAACTGCGTCGTGGGATTTCTGAGGGTGTAAATCAGTACAGAAACAGATTGCCTCCTCAGTCTACCAAGGAGCAGCTGGTGGGTTTGAACCGCCAACCTTCTTGGTTAGCAGCCCAATGCTCACCACTAGGTCCCCTTGTCAAATTTGCCATGGAGGCTAAGCATTCTCTAAAATCCAGTTTGGGGTTGAAAGCTTGAACTTGCCCATCAGGAAGAGGCTGGCTTCCTTCATTCTGAGGAGTGTCTGACATGTCCTGGAGGCTGTTGTGGTGCTTGGGTGCAGAGAAGAACCCAGGCAAGCCACCTGGTGCATGCTAAGACTCACTCGCTGCCATCCAGTCCAGCTGACTCATAGCGACCCCTGTGGGCGTCTGGCACTGGCACTGTGGACAGGAGTAGAAAGCCCCGTCTCTCTCCCACGAAGCTGGCCATTCGGATCGCAGTCCAGTGTGGAACCACTACACCGTGACCAGAGTTCATGATACAAAATGTAGAAAGACTTATACTCCAGGTGAAAACATCACAAAATTAACCATTCGTGCTGCTTCTGAAGTACCGTCTTAAGGGAAGCTGGCTTTTCTTTTTGTCTCTTGAGAGTAGTGCCAGCCACCACAGCATGGCACCGCCACCTTGGCCGTGTGCCTGTTGACCGCCACTGCTAGTGCACAGGCTGACAGCAGAAACAACAGCAGGTTTCTGAAGATGGCTCTGATGACCACTGTTGTGGACGGTTCTTGAACACCTTGTATGGCAAAGCCGTGGCATCGGGAGGCGTCAGAGAGCTGGTTTGGATCCCAGCGCTGCTTGAGGAAGGCCCTGCACCGCCCTCCAACCTCAGTCCTCTGGTCCGTCCGGTGGAGGCCATAGCAGTGACCCCGGCTCGCTCATGTTGGAGGGCTCGCCGAGGCAGTGTGCAGCGAGGCCTTGGCACAGTGCCTGGCCCGCCTGTGGTCAGCGGTAACATCGGACTCAACGCCCTCCCTTGCGCCCGAGGATGGTAGACCATGTGTGAGGTGCTCTGGGAAGAGGCACCCCGAGGGGTGGGGGGAGAGACGAGGGAGGACAGCCTGAGCCGCTGTGTCCAGCTGTTGGACGTCTGGGACAGGGCAGGAAGGGATGACCAGCTGTGGAACTCGAAGCATGGAAGCAGCCTGCAGAAATTACTGGAAGAATGTGGCCGTCACATCTCGAAGAGCCTTGTCCTCTGGCCAGCAGTGGCTTGAGCTGTCAGGAGGCAGGGAGCTGCCCATCGGTGGACGTTTTTCAGACCGGTCCACCGAGGGTCCCCAGGAGCCTCCTGGGAGAGAGCGAGCTGAGGCACCTACAGACCCTGCTGCAAGTCGATCCTGGCCCATCGTGTGACCCTGAAACAGGGCCTCAGAGGCTGACAACCTCACCTGTCTCCTTTGGAGCAGCTGGTGGCTTTGAACCACCACTCTTGTGGTCAGTAGTCTGGTTGTCCGGTGTTTACCCGACCATGCTTGCCACCAGGGTAGCATGGGTAAGTGAAACTGAGCATGCTTGAACCCTGCTGTCTGCGGGCCTCACACTCGAAGTCGCCGGGGTCCTCCTCTCCTGGGCCTGCCGGTGCGTGCAGACCCACGTTGGGGAATTTCAGTAAGGAGTAACCCCAGACACGCTGCTCCAGGCAGCCTGGGGGGGCGGGAGGTTGGGGCAGGAATCCATTTTTCATTTACACCCTCTTGGATCTTTCGCCAACGCTGTGCATTCTCATCACTCAGCAGCTGGGGGCACTGCAGTCCCAGGAGAGACCAGGGCTGGCTGTGCAGAGGAGCCTGCCAGCCCGCTGAAACCTTGTCCCCGTTTTACCTCAGTTGCCCTGGAAAGTTTTCCTTTGTTTATTTTTCCCTCCACGCCCCTTGTAC